ATATAGTTTATATATATATATATATCTTAAAAATAAAAATAAACATAATTTTGTCTAAAATATGATAAATAATGTTATTATAAAAGAATGTAAATTACAATTTTAAGTGTAATTGACTCACAGTAATTAAATAATAGTATAAATTTATTTAAAAAAAATAACAATAAATAATTAATTAAATCATACTACTCCATTTATAATCACATAAGAAAAATTAACTAAAAGAAATGAGGATTGAAAAATTTTCAATTATGAAAGTTTATTAGTGAAACCTTGAATGTGAAATCAAAATACAAAGAAATGTTTTAAAATGACACACAATATTTACTATATTAACTAATTAAAAATAATAAAAATAATAATATATAAATAGTTGATTTGGTTTGAATTATAAAAATGTGAATCTGATTCTAGAACCAAAATATCAGATTTTAATTAGTTTGGTTCAGGTCCAACCCAACAAAAAATAAATTTAAACTAATTTAATTAGTTTTGATCAGATCATTGAATTCGTCAGATTGATCCGAAGTCCGAACCGATGAAGTCTCCTAATGATTGCTTACAAATGTATATCTTATAAATTGTATGTATTAGTTAACAAAAGAAGTGATTGCTTATAAAATTCACCCAATCATTTATGTTGAGTAAATTCTCATTAAATATTGAATAGATAATAATGTGCCAATTGTATGAAAGTATTTTATATTACTCTCTTTTGAGATATAAGAGTATTATACTACTATTTTATTTTAAGTTAAAATATATAATTTAATTCATTTAACATCCTTAATATAAATTATACTTCCCTTGGAGACTAAGTATTACGTTATTCACTCTTTATATTTTTAAATATCATATAAATTACACTATCTCAGATATAAGTACTATATTATTATTTTTCTATCATATTAATTTTGACTATTTAACTTGACATTACTAAAGAATAATCATCATAAAATTTTAAAATATACTTTAAATTTAATTATTCATAAAAAATATACTTTAAATTTAATTTTCATAAAAAAAATATACTTTTAACTAAAATATATAAAATATTTTTTGTTCATTCTCATTCATTCTCTTAATTAAAAAATTGTAAAATATAATAAAAATTCTAATTAGTTTATTAAACTAATAAATAAAATAGAAACCGTAACATTGTATTTTTTATAATATTTTTTGTCTTATTAAATTATACTTTGTTGTGATTTACAGTTTAATTATTGAGAAACTCTAAAAATTTATAATTTTTTACGAGTTTTAATCGTTTAAGATTTAATTTGCTCTAAGGAGAGGTGGAGTTTGGCTAGTAGGGAAAAAACATATGAGGTCTTTCTTAAGAAGTGGACCTCATAAATTCATTTCTTTAAAAAGTTTAAAGAAAAGTTAGAGAGAAGGACTCTCGAGACCAAGGGGGGAAAATTCTCTTCCTGCTTCATAGATTTACTTCTACTATTTCCTTGAGAGTGATTTTGGTGACTGGTGGTTGGAGATTTAGAGTTTTAGAGCCAAGAATTAGAGGGGTTGCTATAACCATATGGAGTTGATCATGGGAACTTGTTTTCTTCTTCTTCCCTTGATTCTTGCGGGTTTAGAGGAAAGGGAAGCTAGAATTTAACTCATTGATAAATTATGGAGTTGAATGTTGCTTGATTTTTATAAATTTTTGGTTATGTTTCTGGTTTAGAAATGAGTTGTTTATGATGAGTATATGTAGTTTCTATCATTACATGTTGGTATCTTCTGATTTTCACGTGAAGGGAGTCAAATTTGTGATTTTGCTAAGTGTAGAAATCACCATCGTGCCAAACGTATCTTTAAGGCATCAGGCATGAAGCAGGCCAAAGGCCCTATGTCTCACTCTCATCGGACATAGGATTGGTAGCATTGGTGTGGGTTAGAAGAAAGCTCTCTCACTTGGTCATGTCGAGCGTAAATTGAATGGCGTTGGTGAAGTCGGGCCCTAGTTGAATGGTGTTAGGCATCATCAAGATAGAAGTTTTCTACTTAGATGACGTTGGGCGCCAATGTTGTGATGTCAAACATGAGTCAAGTAGGGGCTCTCTGCTTGAAATGGGGTCAAGGTGTAAGTTTTGTTATGCTAGGCATGATTAACACATGGGCTATCTACCTCGTTCATGTTGAGTGCAAGTAGTTTGGTGCTGAGCATGGATGAGCCAGAGGCTCTTTGCCTTAATGATGTTGGGCACAGGAAGAATGACATCAAGCGTGAATTGCTAAATGAAAATATGTTGTTTAGTTGGCTAAGTGTTGAATATGGTTTGTGTGTGAGTGAAAATGTTCACATTTTGTATGTTATTAGGACTTTATACATTGATCTAGGAAAATGTATATTGATATTTACACTTTTGAAAGTTATAAATTGTTAAATGTTAAAATGTTGAAATGTGGCAAGAGTTGTATGCTGGGTAGTATTGAGTAGCTGTGTTGAGAATGTTTAAAACATTGTGTTAAGTTGTGTTGATTAACTTAGGAATAGAGGAGAGGTGATATTTTAAAAAGTTGCATATCTCATTGTGAGAATATAGTATTGTGGTGCTTAACAAGTCCACTTGTTGAAAACCCTTGTGAGAAGTTGACTCTTGAAGTGAAATGTTGAGTCTTCCATGAGACCTTAGTTGACATCGTATGGGACCAAGTTGAGTCATACGTGTATAAAGCGACCAATGTAGATCCATATGGGGGCAATGTCGAGTCATATATGTATAAAGTGACCAAATCGAATAAGGTACAAGATTATGGGTCAAAATCCCCAATAAGTACTGAAAAAGACATGGTATTTGGAGGATAATTGATAGGTTAATCTCATAAGAGGCTTAATTATCCATGTTAAGGTTGTGGTATGCTCACACCCAATTTGTTCTACTCTAATATAAATATTAAACTTTCCTAGTTTCAGTTTCAAAATTTGAGAAAACATAATGTTGTGAGTTTATATCCAAATTTGTTGTTGATTTAGTAAGCCTAAAAAAATTGTGTTGTTAAGTTGGTTTAGTAGGGTCAACCCACTTAAACTGCTCACATATATTGTAAGATATCTCTTAGTTCAATGTATGACAATGTATATAGTTGTTGTATTGTGCACTTGATGGTTGATATGTTGTGGTGCTCTTGTGTTGCACTGATATAGTTGTATAGTTGTTAAATGAGTTGATTTGTAGATTATTGTGTTGATTACTTTGTTGTATTGACTAATTGTGGTACTCATATGCTGAGTTAATAAGTTGTATAGTTGTGTCGCAAGTTTAGCATCTTACCATGATGTTGAGTTATAAGTCTGTCGCTAAATGTTGAAACGATGAAATTGTAGTATAAATAGTTTAATTTTTCTACAGTTGTCGATTATTTTTTAATGTTAACTTATCCTTGTATATTTTTTTATGGTTGGATTATGATATATTGTGAGCCATGTTAGAAGATGACAGTGTTATTACACACACAAGTATTACATTTTATAAAAATTATATTTTATTTAAAAATAATTTTTTAATATAAATAATAAAATTATATATTCCATATACATATTTTTAGTATTATATCAATTAAACATAATAAATAATACTATATCATGAATCAGTAATTTATTTAGATATTATTAAAATATTTTATTAGTAACATCATTTACATAATATCTTAATACATATTTATTACCTTAAATATATATATATATATTAAAAAATAACCTTTAATATATATAGTTAACACTATATAATAAAAATATTTTAAAGATATATAATTAATTTTTAAAAAATTCATAACAACTTTAAAAAAAATAATTAAATATGTATATTAAGAGATAAATTATTAAAATGTAACATATTTAAATTTATTAAGCGAGAAAAATATTTATTTTAATACAATACATCTCCAAGAAAATATTAGAGTGTTTTGATAATAAACTTTTTATAACGAACGTCAATGAAACTTTAACAAAAAATTTTAAAAAAACTAAATAAAATGTTATATATTAAAACTTGAAAAAAAAATGGACTATAATTTTTAACACGTGTAATATTCATATCTCTAAGAAAAAAAAGGAGTGTCATCTATTCTATAAAATTTATACAATCATTTATGTCGAATGAATACTCATTAAATATTAAATAAATTATAATGTACTCACTGTATAAAAGTATTTTAAGATATCCATTGAATCATAAATGTTAATTTAATAGTTTATATACTCTAATCATCTTAAATTATTTTAAAGATGATTTTTAATTCAGTGATAATATAAATTTTTAATTTTTAATTAAACTTTTTATTTTTTTAATACTTTTACAAAATTTAAACAATTATACCTCTGAGTTAATTTTTTAATTTTTAGAATTGATTTAAACCAAATTATTTGTTAGCTTTGACTAATCTCACTATTTTTTTTTCTTCAATTCCTCTTCATAGCAAAAAAAAAACCATATATTTTCTAATACTCATTGAAATAGAAATAGAATTCAAATGAACCTTATCATAATAAATATATATATATATATATATATATATATATATATTATTTAAGACTAATGTATAAAAAATATGATGATACATAAGTATTTTAACTCAATAATGTAGTTTGACATAATTTTCAAATAATTTTATTCTTTAAAATGTAGTTTAACATTATTTTTCAAGTTTATGAATATGAAAAAATATATGGCAGGTGAAATCAATTCCTTATTAAATAATCTTAACTATGAATACCTTGATTTAAAAAGAATAATTTGAATAAGGAAATGATTTTTTAAATTATATTTTATAAAATCAAATTTTAATGTATAAATAAATTATTTAAATAATTACATTTTCACTTTTTGGTTTTTTTTTTTTCACACATATGTAGCCACTTCCATCTAGTAGTGGTAATGACAACGATAGTAGTGATGAATGAGACAGTGATGGTAGTGTGGTGGAGGTGGCAACGATTGCAGTATCAGTGATAATAATTATAGAAAAAACTAAGATGATAATTATACATGATAATATTATTTATAATATTTTAATTTAAGTTGTTTATTTTAATATCAAAGTTTTTATTAATTGTTCTTTTATCAACAAGTGGGAAATGAATCCTCTGACTTTATGGAAGGAAAATTATGATAATTTAATGCATTTATACTGTTGAATTTGTAATAATATATCAGATTGTAACACGTATACATTTAAATCAAAATGTATATTGTACATGTGCCACAATCCGATTAATTTTTATAAATATAATGGTTTAAATGTATTAAGTTACCGTAATTTTCATGTATCAAAGTCAGAGAATCTGCATCCCAACAAGTGTTCTCACCTTACTCTAAGTATGAATGTATTTGATATTTCGTTACGTTAAATCAAATGAACGTATATTTTTTAAATTATATATTTCTCTCTTTTTATATAGGAGTGATCCATTTATTTCAAGAATAAGTTTACTTAGACTTATTCCGTTCAATAACTTATGGAGTAAACGGATCCCTTATATATATATATATATATTTATGTGTGTAATAAATTGAATATAAATATACTTATATTTAATTAAATATATAAAAATTCTCTTTTGTTATATAATATTATAATTTTAAATTATATTTATCAAAATAAACAAATTAAATTTTAATATATTATTAAAATTTTATTTATTAATTTTTATAATACTAACTATTATTGTTGTCGTTTAATATTTTAAACTATTTATTTAAAAGCATATACAATAGTATATAATCTATTATATATATAAACAAAATTGATAACGTAGTTACATATATAATTGTGTACACATGAATTATGATAATTTAATTTAGAATCAGAATTGATTATAGTGTGGCGTAATGGACTTTGGTTGAAAGTTAATTAATTAGAATTGATTATGAGTCCTTGATTAAATTTGTAAATAAAGTTGAGGTAATGTGATCTTGAAAGGTTTGATATAAAATCCACACAAATCACGTGTAGAGAAGAGATTAAAATTCTAGTGAGATCAAATCGTTGCCAAACTTACTGTGCGTAGTTATTGTTGTTGTTGTATTCTTGGAAGAAAATGAAGCGGGAAGAAAATGACGGTCGTTTCGACCTCATAATTTTGGGCGCCTCAGGCTTCACAGGCAAATACATTCTTCGAGAAGCCCTCAAATTCCTCAACGCCCCATCCTCTCCTCTCAAATTCATAGCCATAGCCATAGCGGAGCTCGGGGTGATGTTCAATTCGCAACAGTGGGTGGGGCCTGAAGCGCCGAACAGCGTGGAGGCCTACGTGGTTTTGGAGTCGGAGAAAAGGATTGTCATTAACTTCACCACATACGAATCCATGGTTCTCGGTGTGGCCAATGCGCACAACTTGCACCTATTCAGAAAGTCCAGGCCCAGAAGACCTACACCTATGGTAACATTTCTTCTTCTTTTTCTTCTGTCTTTTCTCATTTCCCAAACCTAATAATGCCTATGCTAACATTTTATGGCCAAAACCTCTGTTTTCATATACCAACCCACTTTTTTCAGTCGCTAACCTATGGATTTTCTCAATCACTACACCTCAATGTTTATATGATAAATGTTTCATGTTTGATACTTTAAGTCTTTAACACCCACCCAAATATTTGATTAGGGACTGATTTTATTATTTAAAATTTTAAAATTTTAAACTAAGTTTTCAGTTCATTATTATATTTTGGTTTAAAATTGTGAAACAACTAAAATCACAATGAACTCTATTTTAACATTTTTATTTTACTTTACATCAATTTTAAGAAAAGTAATTCATAACTGTTTTTTCTTTTTTATTATAAGTTGTTTTTGAAATGAAAAGTAAAACTTTTGTAAGTTATGTTTAAAGTTATTAATCACCCTCAATATATAAATGAGAATATTTATTTTACACCAGAACATTTAGAAATATCTCACCAAAGAGTTAGTTTTTAGGTATTTTTTATTAATAAAAATATTTTTGTGAATTGATGGTATAACTTATTTAAAAATATATTTCCTTTATAAATAATTATAGATATAACTACTTCAAGTCTAAATTATTAAATCTCTAGATATAAATTATCTAACTTTATCATCTTTACTTTCATTTTAATTTTTTTAAAATTATTATTTTTATTTTTTAAAATAAACATATAGAAACATGAAGTATCTCATTTTCACTAGTATATAGATAGTTTTTTTTTTGAAATAATATAGATAGTTATTTATTATAAATGTTAGTTATAATTAAATCTCTAGATAAAAATTATCTAATTTTATCATCTTTATTTTCATCTTTATTTATTTTTTAAAATTCTTATTCTTATTTTTTTAAGTAAACAAATTGGGGCACAAAGTGCCTTATTCTTCTTAGTATATATAGAGTGATTTATTATAAATTTTAGTTATATATAATAAATATTTAATTTAATAATATACAAAATAAAATAATATTATTTCAATAATCATAAATAAAATAAATTATATGAGACCATAATTTTTAAATAAGGGAGATAAATATAATATATTTAAAGTATAATATTTAGCAAAAAAAAATATTTAAACTAAATTATTACTAAAATTTAGCCTAAAATTAAGGTTAAATTTTGATTTTTAAATTACTAAGTTAAATATATCAACTTTTAATTATAATCTCTCTAATTCTCTCTGGTAGAGATTGAAATATGTGCATAAGATCTTAAATTCAAAGTATCACTATCGTAATTTAAATGGAATAAAAATAAATAAATTATGGTTGATGTAATATTTCTATAACCCTCTACTTGACATAGTTGAATTTGGAGGGGAGGAAGGAGAAAAAACATAGATTTGAAGCGAATTATAAAAAAAAACAAATGGTTGGTCTCACATGAACTATTACTTACCTTAAAAAAAATGAGAAAATTTGCCTAATGGAAAAAATGATAAAAAAAAAAAACATCATTAGGATTATCATTCACTCAATTTAATTATATTCAACAAAAACACTTGATATTTCGATTTTATGTACACACATAATCGAATGTGTAATTATATATATATATATATATATATATATATTATACCTATTAATAATTATTATTATTAGAATAAAAATAAGTTAAAATTAGATAATTTATTTTTATATATAAAAAATATTATTTAAAATATTAATTTATTTCTATTTCTTTCTTAATTTCACTCTATCATACTAATTTTTTTTTATTTCTCTTTATTTCTCTCTATAGGTCACCTTTTTTTTTCTCCCAAAATAAACCAATTAAAATGTTTTTCTTGCTTCCTTCTACTTTTCTTTCGAGCAAATTTGAGAAAAGTCTCACTTTGATCCTTGCTTGGAATGTTCTTGATTTTTTGACTTTGGATGAGAAATTTTACAAATTTAAGGAATTTTAAATTTTTGGTATTTGAATTACTTTGATTTTAATTTCTATCATTCTTAAAATATTTTGTTTGGATAAATCAATTTAAATTTATCAAATTTTAAATTGTTAGGTTGGATATGATAATTTGATTTCACCATGATAAAATTGATTTTAAAAATATATTTATATGTTGAGATTTTTAAATTAAATTTGATAAAAGTAAATATTAAATAATTTTTAAATATTTAATAATTTAAAAAAATAATATTAAATAATATTTAATAATTTTAAATATAATTTTGAATATTTAATAATTGAAAACATGAAGTGATAAGAGATAAGATAAAATATATAAGTGAAATAAGAAGAAAAAAATATGAGAAATTTTAAATTCTTACTCATTTGAAAAAATTTGAAATTCTACTATTTCAAAGAATTTCACAAATATTTGAATTTCAATTTCCTTATAATTTATCATTTAAACAAGATATTTCATCTCAAAAAATTTAAAATTCTTCAAATAAATAAATTAATCCATTTAAATTCTCCATTCAAACATACTATTATAAATTGTGAATTCCAAAAACCCCTATTTTAATTTGTTCAACCATCACATTGCTAGTATTTTTTTAGATCCCAATCTCATCTCCTCTGGCTCTGCCAGCGAGTCTAAAATTTTCTATTTGAATATGAAGGGTGACTATCATTTCTATTTTGCCAGGTTTAAGCATGTGTAGGCTCCTTTTTTTTTCCCCTCTCATTTTTTGTTAACTATCTAACTAAATGTTGATTATTCTCTTTAATATTAAAATAATATTTATATATATATGAGGAGAGTTCAAACAACACTGGTGTAACTTTTATTAAGTGTTACACCGCTCAATAATTTTAAATTAAATGCGAATTTTGTAAATCTAACCGTTAGATTGAAAATTTATATCACTTTATAAGTGTATATCAAATTTTGTTAAAATTGAACAATAACTTGAGGGTAATCAAAGTGTTCATATTTTAATATATTTTAAAATAAATATATTACGTCAATTTTGTTTTATAAGAATGAAGTATCAAATCATCTTAAATTAATATAAAATTTTGTATATATAATCTAAGAGATATGAATTTTCAATCTAACGGTTGGATTTACAAAATTCACATTTAATATAAAGTAATTGAGCAGTGTAACACTTAGTAAAAGTTATACCGGTGTCGTTTGAATCATCTTCTTTATATATATATATATAGAGAGAGAGAGTTATAATTATACTAGTGTAACTTTTACTAAGTATTACACTGCTCAATAACTTTATATTAAAT